CGACCGTTCGAAACACCCGCGCATACAGATCTAACGCGCGAACCCACATACACATGGATTTGCACGCTTTGCTTGTCTTCTCCACCACTTCCGGAGTGAATTCCGGATTGTCAATGTACTTTTTCAACTTTTTCAATTGGGCATCGGTAATTTCATCTTTCGGATACTCGACCAATCGGCGCAGAAAATTCGAATCACCGAGCACGGATTTGGCTGTGGCCCAATCACCTCTGCAAGAGGTGAAGAAACAAAGAAGGAAAAGTGAACAGCCAGTGAATCGGTGAAATGCGTGCTATATTTACATTATATATGGTGAGTGAAAAGGACTCTACAGTAAGATGATATTGGACCGTAAAAAATACCGTTGCGCAAAACAACAAACACCACTCTCCTTAGGGAAACATTTTTTGGGGATTTAGAGGGCACGGATTTTCAGTCACCCTAATCTATTCTTCTTTCAGTTCTTCGCGATCGAATCAACCTAGCGAATTAAACTTGATGATGATGATGATGTCCGAACAACAACGGCAACATTTTGCACTTCGAACGTGCAAAACGCATACCAAGCCTAAATATGCTAGCACTCCAGAAAAGCTTGCAATTTACCTTGGTCTTCAGTTAGTGGCACAATGTCATCTGCATACTCCAGATCAGACAATCTGCCACCTGGAAGTAAGTCGATACCGCTATCCTCGCACGAGGATACGGCTGTTTCCATGATCAAATCTATAACAAAGTTAAAAACAAACAGAGAGAGAAGGCAACACTGTCGAACACCACTTTCTGTAGTGAGCTCGGGCGAACAGTGCTGTAAGCTCGGAATCGGCTTCGTCTATTAGTATAAAAGGATTGTAATAGTGAAATAAACTTCTCGAGCACATCCTTCAGAGCGAGGAAGCGCTAGAGTTTAGAATGATCGACTGAGTCGAAAGCCGCTCTCAGATCGAGAAAGATAGAAATGGTGGGTCAATCAAACGAGTGTTTATGTTCTAGAATTTGACAAAGGGTGAAGATGTGGTTGATACAACCTCGACCAGGTCTAAAACCGGCCTAGTTCTCACACAGGAAAAATCCCGGAAACGAGTAGATAACGATCAGATAAAGAACGGAAAGCAGACTGATTTGAAATAGTTTGACATATACCAACGTCCTCAGTGTACCAAGTGTACCAGTGACCAAGTTTGGTCAGTGGTGGTAGTGAGTTATCACTTTCACTTCATGAGTTTCAGTATCAAGGTGAAAATCAATTAGTGTGGTTTGAGTAACGAAAAATATCAGAAATTACAGGAAGAGGTTAGTATCATTTCGCGTACTATATCGCACAAAAATAGCATTAAATTACTGATCCACTGATGCTTGCAAGTTTTGGAGTTACTGCACAAATCAGGTACTTATAGTTCTTTTGTGAAAGTTTTCATTTTGAAAATTTATGGATCATTTATTTATCGCGCTTATTTAGACAATAAATTTGGCCATGGAGTTGAGAAATTCAGAAGCTGTCGCGCGGCTCAATGAACCCCTGATGACACTGTACACACACACACACACGCACAAATGGGTGTTAGTGTGACGACACTAGACACGTCACCACCATTTTGAATTGAGAATGAGTTGTGTACATGTTTTACTGGATCTTTTGGTTCATGGCTGCTTTTTGAATTTTCCCTGTCTTGCAGATTGTTTGGAAATTCCCCTTCCACGGACAACCTGTCGTCCACAGTGTCTCCTATCCGTGCATTGAGAGCTTCTGTGCTGAGCCTCGCTTATGACTTGATTCGAAACCCCAAAGAGGGTTTTGTTTGTGGTATTCTGACGACTCTATGTGCACCAGAAACTGGGATCATGTTAGTCGGAATCACGTAATAGATGGTATTGTTGGCTTATACTCAGGATGTAAAGTAACAACCTAGGAACACAAGTTTAATTTTCTCTCAAAAGTCGTGTAATCCGAACGAAAAATGGATTCAGATCCATTACTGCCGTTGTCCGTTACCAGTCTCTTCTCAGTCTCTGTCAGAGTGATCGAAACGGGGGTGACAGAACACTGCAAGTTGATTGGTCCGTTCGCCAACTATTGTTCTCGGGGCTTCCGTTCCAGTGAATAGAGAGGACAGCAAAACGGAGTGCCAGAAATACAATGTGTGTTGTCCTCAACCTGAGCACAGTATCGCGAGCTAATAATAAACATGTGCCCAATTACCTTTTGAGTTTTTCGACTAAGGATTGTGAAAGGTTGTTAGAAAGAGCGATTTAGTGATAGTTGACAAGACGCTACGCAATGTTCATGCTATCGTACATTTCGGTGAATAGTTTGCTTACTTTTGTCCCAGCATCAGGCACACTGCCTCCATGACAGTTTGAACCAGTTGTGGGGGTTTGGTAAACACTCGAAGCNNTCGAAGCTCAGAAATATCATTCTTGTCCAATGAATCTAACGCTCGGTTGGCCGCATCCAAAGCTGGAATCGCCTCTTCCAAATCACGTTGAGCATCAGCCGCGATAGCTTGTGTCTCCGCAGCTTTTTGCTTGGCCAATGCCTCGTCTTCTTTCACTCGATTTCGAACAATGTCAGCCTGTGAATGATGAGTACGCGGGTGATCTCAACTCAGTCATATATATATATATATATATATATATATATATATATGCGTATCCTTATAAAGTACACTCGTGAGTGTTTCAGTTTTGGCTATTATCACCAAGACTATGAAAGGGGCTATGTAGGAAGATACACGTAAATATGTCAGGAGCATACAACAGAGATGATTGGATGGAAAGATGGTTATATGTACTAAATATGGCAATTTTATTCAATATATACAGTTAATAGATAGGTGGGTCATTATACATGATATAAAACAATCAATTCAATCTCATTCCTCTTGGGGGTATGAAATATCTTTGGAGGATGACTGGTCAGTTCAGTACATGAGTAATACTACTTAAAACCTCACCGCTAATTCTGTGGTGATTCATTCATCCTTTAACAGAGTGCTTGGATGAATTTTGAAATGCCTTTCACACACTACGACCTGGCCCTTGCTTGCATCGGCAGACCAGCTACCACTTTTATCCAATCATTGACGTACAAACGAACAAAAGGTGGAAGTTTGTTTGTGGTGGCCAGTAGAAGTTGTTGAAGAGATGTTTCATCCCTGTTAGGAGTCACTGACACACCATACCACACTAGTTTTTTTCCGCGGGGACTCAAACCATGAAAAAAAGACTGTGAATAAAGTTCCATCGAACCTGAGCTACATGGACGTTACACAGGTCTCGATGTCTGCGAATTTGCATAGACCAAACACAAAAACGTCCATACCAAATGATCTGTATGCAACCACAACTAAAACTACAAATAAAAATATATAGCATTGTGCAACGCTGATGACATCACTGGTCCATTTGGTCAATCCAATTCATCGAACACAGTTCAGGGATTTCGAAAGTGTCTAAATAAAAAAAAACACTTCAAGTATACAAACGCAATGTTTTCCGCTTTGGATTGGAGTGAATATGCACCACACTTCATCTTCAGATGCTGGATTGCGCAACTCACCTGTTCCTGATCCTCTCCTAATTTGTGCATTAGTTTTTCCGTATCGCGTTGTTTCACTTCCAGTGTCGGTCTCATGNTCAATTTCCATACTGGCCACTAGGTCATTTGTTTCCAAAATTTTGTTTAGACCGTTTTTGAATTTGTTTCGCATATCACTCAATTCTCTGGATGATGAAGAAAAAAACCGATTCATGCGTTTAGGGATGGAGAATCACCCAGGCAGAGCATAACATTTATTAGACATAGATAGATATATTTGTACTATTCATTAGTACAATAACTTCTTATCCTAGGCGGGTGTGAATATCAGAAGCTATACGTTTGCAACTTCAAGTGAATTTAACCCATCACATTGTGAAAGAATCCCTCAAAGTGATTGATACGTCGCTCGTCACAAGGCACCATCTATTGGGCCTGTTCTCTCACAATAACTCATTAATCAGGATGAATTTATTTCGAGTATCAAGCTTGGATGAGCCTATTCGACTGTTCAGAGGCACCAGGCACTCTTGATGGTCTTTGGTGTGGGTTTCACTCCTTGGGAGATCGTTAATTCCCTACGGACAAAACAAATACGCACAGTCGACAAAACTCAGACAGGACACGATAGCTGTCACAGATATTTCCATAAACAAATGTACTTTTGAATGAGCAACTGATTGGCGATGACGGTTTTCGGACCGGGGGGGGGGAAGGGGTCTGGCTGTTTGTCCCTTCTCCCGAAAACATTTTCCCCCTGATTGTTGACCGAGTGCGAGTTAGGCGAGAATGAATGAACTCGGTGGCAACTGAATTCGGCCGGTAAAGTAAGAAAGCAAGTCACATCAGGATTGATCAATAAATCGGTCACTTTGCTCGGACATGAATATTGGCATGAATCATTGTATCACTGTGTCCGAGTGCCACCGCTAAGCATCGTGTTAACTGCCTCTGTCCATATTAAAGGCATCTAGACAATAAATCCAAAAACTCACTGTGTAAAGGGTGAAGCAACAATCACTTTTGTGGGATACCCGTTAAAATGCGATTGGAAAAGTTATGACGAGAGAAAATCATTTTTCACCAGGTAACCGGGCACTAAAAAAGTATAGTTTCTTCAGAATCAGATGGTATGCATAAGTGTTGTCCATGTCTTCCAATGCACTGTCGCGATGAATTATGTTTGCCGGGAGAGGACACGATCAAACCAACCGAACTGTGATCTATCTCAATTTCAGTTTGTAAACCAATTAACCATTCATTTCTATAGATTGTTGTCTATCGGTACCAACTTGGTTGAGTAACAAAGATTTTAGTAATTACAGACAAAAGAATAAAACTAGCAAGGAAATCGATAAAAGGGATCAAATGTGAATAAACTGGTTGTGTGTAGTAGAGTAGATGCAAAACTGCCACTGTTGATGACATTCAATCCTATCCATTCATGCCTCTAACTCCTGCCTTGATTGTTCACGAGAATTCCTCGACTAGGAAGCTTTGAACAAACTATCTAAGCAAGTTACTCGGTCAAGATTTTCAATTCTGGCATTTTTGGAATGGGAAAATAATGTGAATTGAATGTCTGTGTGGGAGAAAAAGAAAAGGAAACAATTTGAAATAGCTTTTTCCGGTTAAAATTGATATCTTTCACGGTTTCTAACCAGAAAAATACGACTGATTCCAATTTGGAGTCGTCGGGATGCGCCCGACGGATTGGAAAGCGTCTATCAGCTTTAATTTAAATTCTTTGTTTATATCTGGCGTCAACAAGCCATCCACCATTCTTGTCCGGTGTATACAAACAGGGGTTGCATAGCTTCATTAAATGAACAAACAAACATTTTCCACACATGTCCAAAGAATCCCAAACGATGCAACGAGATGACAGTTTCAAAAGGCAGCTCTTCTCGGTCTGACATCCACATGCGTACTTGTACTTATTCAGCAATGACGTTCTTATCAAATCGAAGAGATTTTACGAAGACAACTGCTCTGATCGAGTTATGAGAACCAGTTTGTGCAACAGTTTGGAGTTTGTGAATACAATCGGATTTTTAAACAAAAAAGGCAAGAAAATGGTTTCCCTTGAAAATGTATCATTCTTCACCGATGTACCTGTTCGATAAACGATTGATTTCATATACCTATACATTGATCAAACAGAGTTGCGTGGAGAAATCCCCAAGGCTGCTCTGCTTATACACAGATCATGTATGTACAATGTGATATTGAGATGTATCTTTCAAAGGATGGTATCACTATGGGATCATCACTTAGACCATTATTAACCGACGTGTTCATGGCTAAACTTGAGAAGGATTGATTATAAAAATACTCTATACCGACGCTATTGGGACAGGACCAACTGCGACTGCTAAACATATGACCGACCTAAAGATTGTGATTTACCAGAACGCAATCGTACTCCAACCCCACCCTCTCCCCTCCCCGAAACCTTCGCGGTTTGTTCTTAACTCCTTCACCCATTTTCAGTTTAATTAATATAATTGTATCAAATTTGACTAGTTAATGAAGTACCAAAATCACACCTGCTTGCCACTTCCTCTACCAATTCAATCACTGAATGTATTCGCGTGTAAATCTATCATAGAGAAGTACTATCCACGAGGAGTAGACACTGACACCTTCCACTTGGCTAGTCTCAGTCAACGTTTGATGTGATTCGTTTCACTCACTTGGTTTTTGTCTGAAGCATACTCAAATACAGATTGATCAGTTCTAAGTAACTGGTTGGTGTAGTATAATAATGTCGTTTGAGTTCCAGATAGAATCGTTCTGCCGCATCCGATACGCTGAGATGAATTTCCGTGCACAATGTGGACAGGTTTTTCTGAGACCGGGTGATGATAAAAAAGAACACGGTGAACAAAAGGGTTGAATGTGACGAGTTACCAGGAGAAACGTATCAATCCCATTTCTTACAATTTCTAACAAAGAGGAATACCCAATTGAAATGGACAATGAAAGAAGGGATTAATCACAGAGAGGAACAACACAGTGTGTCTAAAAACTTCTATCACAGTTTACTAAATAAATCGACCGGTCAGGTTCATTTATGATCACTTATATGTAGCACATGTAGTGATCATTATATCCCATTTATCAAATCTCCGGCGAGCAGCTGAATGTTTAGCCACCTAAAAAGAAAAATGATCCAATTGTCAGATGGACAAACAATAAAAGGTCAACAGAACCCATTAGCCCATGACTGATCAATGATGTGGTTCAGTCAATGTGTATGTGTGTATGTGTCTTCTAGTTCGGTACTGCATCCCAAACACCATTGATTCTTTGATGATACACACATTTCCATGCTTTGAGTATGATATTTTCCCGATCAGTTTCTGAATTCTGTCAGTCTCTTGTCAAATCATTTAAAGAAACGGGTTGTTCATGGGTGGAATAAATGCTACCGATGGTAGTCACATTTCGCCCTGGATCATGCTTCGTTTTCAAGAGGATTCCCGATCCGACGGACCCCAAGGCTCATTCATATACTCGAGAAGCCAGGTTTTGGTTGAGAATAGCAGCCAAATGCTATTTTTGGGTTAGAGTGGGAGCTGGTAAATAGACTCGTTCTAAGATAAATCTGAAAGTGTATGACTCCAACCAGCGAGTGTGTCTGTTCTATAGTCACTGAATCTTTTGGAAATCGAGGCTACGAGTTATGGCGTGTTCTTTATACCTTCAAAGTTCAAAGTGTTGTTTGTAAGATAGGCAGGAATCTGTTGGTGCACTTTCTTTGGATAAGGACACCCTGGAAGTAGTCGGAAACTTTATCTACCTCGGGAGTTGCATAACGGCTGACGGATATGTAGGCGAGGAAATCTCACAATGCGTGATCAAAGCTAGATTAGCGTTTGCTGATCGGCGGTATCTCTGGCACCGGTTCGACATATCCCTTTCACTGAAAGGGCGTGTGTATTGCACAACGGTACGCACCATGTTGCTCTGTGGCTGCGAAACCTGGCCTCCGAGCAGATCATGTCCAAAGATTGTCCGTATTCGACAACCGTTGTCTGCGTAACATCGCCCGCGTATGGTGGGAGCAGTGTGTGAATAACAATGAGGTCAGACGATGTGTGTTGGGATCAGATAGTCTTTAATTGAACAAAATGATTTCATTGCATCTTCTTAGATGGTTGGGGCACGTTCTACGAACGTCTGAACGACATCTACAACGTTATGCACTATTCACAAACATCGGTCTGGCCTGTAAGAAACAGCGAGGTTGGTAGGCTATGACATGGCGTAGATGGTTAAAGGGATTGTGCTCAGATCTGGCTCTCGTTGGAGCTTCCCGGCTGGGGCCCCTTGATATTCAGATTGTCTTTGGCTGGAGACAGTGCAAGAGTTGGTATCAAATTGAAGTCAGTGGTATGAATGCATTCTTTCCTGTGTGTGATCCCAAAAATAAACAAAAATAACTCAAGACCGTATGATGTTAGGAGTGCATCGAAAAGTCAGTGCACCATGTGTTGTTTATTGTGAATATTATAATGTGGATAACACAGCGATATCGGTGGAGAATTATATTCGCTGACGTTTCGGTTACCGTGGGTAACCTTTCTCAAGGCTGGTTTACAATCAGATGACTCAGAGGAAAGGATCATAAGTCAACAGATATTTCATCGTGTGTGTGTGTGTGACGGACTAAATAATTAACTCGTTGTCTGTCATACTAACTCCTATTATCAGATGTGGTCAAGTGGTACAGTGATCATTATCGTGGTTACGTATTTGGGATGTTAGGGTAGTCCAAATACTAGGGAACTGGATTCCGTCCTTTCTGTTGACACGTGCACAGTGGGTGTTAATGGTCAAAGCTTCGGCCAGATAAGCGTTCAGTACATGTTCGAAATCCGAGTTGGAGTATTTTCGGGTTGTCTTAGTCTATAGTGTAACCTTCGGCTATGGTGTGAAGAGCGATCGCTGAGTCTCATTCTAGTTTTGTCAGAGTTGTTCTGTCCGTAGACCGATGCTTTTCTTTTCCCTTATGTTTGATTATCCTCGTCTTATGTTATCTACTGGTTTACCCAATGTATTTTTCGGGGCATTCGTTACAACTGATTTTGTAAATGAAGTAGTTTTCATCTTGTAATTCGACCGGATCTGTGGCCTTTATGAGATGGCATTTCGGAGAGTTGTCAACCTGAATGAATGTGCATATGTTGAAATCACCGAGAATCTTTCTGATTGCTTCTGAAGTGCCTGATCCATTTGGAATGCCAATAGAGACCACACGGTCATTGGGGCATTAGGTTGTCGCACTGGTTTGTTCGCTTCTAGCTGGCCTCTTACCAGGAGTGGTGGATAATTATTGTCTTCTAACACTTTTTTGAGGCGTTTCATTTTCATTTGTCGGTTACTGTCTTCATTACAAAGCTTTGTGACTCTGTCATCCAAAGAGGAGATAAGAGTCCGTTTTACACACCGCAGATGAGCTGATTCAAAATGTAAAAGTTTATCCCAATGTGCCGGTTTTCTGTGAACGCTGGTAATAAATTTGCGTGAGTTGTTCACTCTGAGGTGACACTTTATAGAAAACTGACGACTCTTTTCACATCCTCTGACTGCATTGTGAAATTGATGGAGCTGCACTGTTTGTTTAGACAATCAAGAAACGCGTGTATATGTTGTGATTTAATAATGGCAAACGTATTGTCTACGTATCTTACGATGCGTTTCGTAAGATACGTAGACGATACGTGAAACTTCATTGGTTCCTTTATATGAGAATTATGCTGGGTGCAAGCCATACCACCATATCGGTGATTTGAATGAATGAAATCGCCATCCGTGGGTAGATTGAAAAAGTTTGAGATTCGGCTACCAGTTCCAGTTAGGACGCATCGGCTAACACAAACCTTCATGGATATTGAGCAGACACTTCGTCTCTCTATTTTAGAAAAAAAAAATTGTATCCAAAGAAGATTATTCGCTTGATCGAGTTCGACGAAATTTGGATGAAATGTGTTGTAAGTATCGTAGGGACAAGCTGACGGCAATCCATCCAGAGCAGCAGAGAAACATCACAGCTTCAAAACCGACCAAAATGGAGTCGGACGAACCGTACCCATACATTCCATCAATGGTCATCGGCTTCAGTGGATAGCGATTGATCCTGGGCACATTGAACGTTTGACCTCATCCAAAGAGCGTATGATTCGTTGAGCGCTCAGTGGATTGTTGTCTTCACACATCGCCACACTGCGTTACGGGTCAGACTTTGGTTAGCCGACAGCTCCAGTTGTGCTTTGATCTAAACAATCCACCCATGAGAAAATCGAGAACCAATTTGTTTGTTGTAAAACTGTTGTGCCGTGATTCTTTTGGCCTACATTCTGGACTCAGACATGTGTGAAATATAGCAATCGTTACAATAACACTAATAATAAATATTAAAACCAAAAGTATTAGTTTTTAATATTGGTTGGTGTTCCCAGAGTTATATTCGTCGTTTTTAGACCATTTCAACCCACATATTACCAAAGCAAAACTAGATATCGTAAAATCAAGCTCCAGATTTTCAAATTACAAAAGCATGATGTCATAATCTCCCCTCCCCCTTCTTCCTTTATTAGACCCCGTCGAACAACCTTGAATTAATTGTGATGCACTGACTGGAACTCAATGAGAGGTCAATAACTTTAGTCCCGCAATCATGCACGTGTTTGGTATCGGCAATTATTAGACATCAGACAACTGATTGAACAAAATTAAAACAGGTGGGTACGAACAACCGGTTAAACTAACCTTGGTTTCAGGTGTGCCCAGTTGCAATTCTTCAAAGGCGGACATGGCTACACTATACAGTGCATCCTCTGGCCATTCGATAAACCAATCAATGGTGCAACAATTCACCAGGGACGGGAACATGCGGCATCGGACACGGAAACTGGACCCGACAGGGGACATACAGAGTACAATGTGCAAATTGTTCCGTACTCGATTAATACAGAACGCGTAGATCGCATCCCGATTTCCCTCCGCGATGCCCACATCTTTTGCTGCTGGTCGACATCCAATAATCAATCGCTCATATTCCTCATTCTCGAACAGATTTGGCACTTCACCGGAATTCAGAATATTGTTAATATCCTCGAGGAACTCCTCTACAACAATCTGATTGTCAGTGAATAAGAACACGGTCGGTTTGTTTTCAACTCCGGCCCAGAAGTATAATTTTTTCAGATCCTCATGGAATGCGGTATAGTCGTAGCCACGACTAAGCTCGATCTGGAAGCATTTGTAGTCGTTGATAAACGCGGCCAATCTGTGGTGATGTTTTCATAGAACAGATGATGATGACGATAGACGAAAAATGGCTCGGGAATGAAACAGACAAACAAATAAATAAACAAACAAAATACCATATTTTCTGGGCTTGAAATCGTTACCCATCGTACAAGCTCCTAGTATATGCATCAAAAATTCCCCTACCATCATTAGTCTACGTTAGCAGTAAGCAGGATGAGACTCACCCAGATCGAGACAGCTTTACGGTACTTCTTCCTGGCTTTTCAGTTAACGGATCATTTGGTCTGTATACGATGGACTGTCTGATCCAGAGTATGCAGACGACATTATGCTACTAGGTTACAAGCGTTTCTGGATAGCTTGAGTGCTAGTGTTTCGATGTTCGGGATGCATTTTGTACCTTCAAAGTGTAAAATATTGCTCCAAGACTGTGCTGGTCCAGCCCCCGACGTCACCCTGACTGGGGAAGTAGTAGAGGAAGTGGACAAATTTTACTATCTGGGCAGCTATATCTCACCTGGCGTAGGCATCTCAGATGAAGTGTCGGCGAGCATACAAAAGGCTCAGTTGGCATTCGCCAACTTGAGACATCTGTGGCGCCGCCGCGACATCCGGCTGTATGTGAAGAGTCGAGTATATGCTGCGGCGATTCGACCACTGCTGCTCTACGGTGCAGAGACTTGGCCACCAAGGGAACAGGATCAAAATAGATTGTCGGTGTTCGAATACCGCTGTCTACTGAGACGGTAGACAGCGTAGAGTTTTGGGTAATCGTGGTCGTCCACTAGAGCAAGTAGTTGACCTTCATAGGTAAGGTTGTTTGGGGCATGTGTTACGCACATCACCAGACAAGCTCCCTGGCTGGGGACCCCGAGATCGTGATCACCGATGGTTAGAGACACTGAGTGATATAGCTGGGTGTCACAAACAGTGGCGTTCATGCATCTAAGCATTATTGTAACATCAGTCAATGTAAATTCGCTATTTTCCGCTTGAATTTGCTCTCAACATTCTCATCTTCATTCTGCTGTTTTATCCAAATGGGTAACCAAAAGATGGCAACCAAAACCGGCGCAGGAATGTACGTTTTTAATGGATATAAGAACTGAACTGAACTGATATGACGGACTTCAACATATAATCGAATAAAACCCATCCCTACTCCTATGCAGCAAACGAGATATGCGCTCTAGGTAATTTTGAAGTGTTGCTGCTAAAACGTGATCAGTGGCGTCGAAACTGATTGCCGTTTCCACAGTGGCACTTTTTATTTTCAAGGAAAGTCTAAAGAATTTGAATCGATTACTTGATGGATGTTGTCGTACCCGAAACAAACGAAGCGTAAACTGAAAACTGAGAGGCACCGTACGGCTCGCTTGACCTGGTTGGGTTACATCAGAAGAGCTGAGACCATTCACCAGACTCAAACTGTAACCTTGGACTTCACCGACCGAAAGCAAGCATACTACTCACTCAGTCACTGGCCAGGTGGTCAAACTGTACACGATACACCATAACAGGTGTTTTTCGACTTGTGGTGAGCACCTGTCTGGATCATCTTCCTATTAGTCGCCAAGTTTATGATTCCGTTCATGTCAGTTTTTCCAATCATCAACCATGCAGTTTTGTGCAGCGGTTTTGGTAACTCTGTCGTTTGGTTATGACTCAATCGAACACATTCCGAGCCAGACGATCAATTACAATGGAGTGACNTAGTATGTATAAACACACATCCACCGGCTGACAAATGTTTTGTACATCCCAAATCTTAGATTTTCGCGGTATCTTCCATCCGGCGTAAACTATAATGACCATTTCGGCGGTATGGTAACAATGGTTCATCTACATGCATAAATATTTCTAAGTTCTCACATTCAAAAGAAAACATGATTCAAAATGCATAAAAGTATCATGAAAGTAGGATCGTAACCCCCACAGCAACCATTCGGGTGGAAACTTAGAACTCTTATGGAGTGACCCATCTGCACCTGACCCTGGACATGTGAGTCAGTCTGTGACAGAATGCTGACGGGAAGAGAACATCAACCAGATCCGAATCAAACGCTCACAGAAATCGATCAGATTTCCCACAACTCGTGTGGTGCATTTGATAGGAACAGTTTCAAATTTGTTGAACGTTCTAAAGAATATTTACATCTGTGAACACGGACGATTGAATATTAGTGATAATTTCTCAGAACAATATAGAAATTTCAGATTGATTTTCCATCTTATTTGTGTAGGAAGTGTGATGATCCTAACCTACGGGACAATGCCAGCCACGGAGCGACGCGTAACAGTTTCTGGACAACAAACCACAGGCCAATTTCACGGACCAATCAGAAGTCGTCCAAACAGAAACTGTATAACGTCAAGAATACTAGCAGATGATTGGTGGAAACCTGTATAACCAGTAAGCTTCCTTCGTACATCTTATTTAATCTCATTGAGTTCTTTCAATAAACGAATTACCACTGTTGTGGCCTGTTTTGGCGTCTCGTTTACGAGCGATACCAGCGTGCAAATGCTAGTGCGATTTAGCGTTTCAGTTGCTTCCGTACTTCGTGCTTCGTAATTCGTAATCTGTGCCTACTTCGACTACTGGAGAAAGTCACGCAATTAGATCAAAACTTTAGATGTATTATGACCTCCTGAGTCAGCCATGAGTCAAAAATGTTTGGTTATTCTTCTCTAAGTGCTCAAGTACCTTACTAACTGCTAGTTCGGTAGATGTAGTAGTACTAGCGAAGGACCTAAAAGATCAAAACCTAAAAGCGTTACATTCATGTCTGTAGAAGCTCCCCTAGGAGTACCCCTATGCGTTGGAAATACGTCCCACTGACTTATGGGTCAGAGTTTTGAGTTGAAAGCTCCGGTTGGAGGTACTCAAATAAAGTTCAGAGATACCCACTGTATCTGACCGGCTACTAAATGGTGGATGGCAAAGCAAAAAACGCTTACCACGTTACGAACATTGTTTTTACAATCCGGGAAAAAAAACAAATTTTGCCAAAAGCATACTACATAGCTCGGTAGAAAGCTAGAGTTGGAAGCAACTATGCCAACATAATGATAAATAACAGAGTGGTTGACTCGATGATTGAGATAACTATTACGTCTGAAGGAGTTACCTGGTCAGAGATTGTTTTCCAGTACCACCAACACCAACCAGAAGAGCGTTTCCCCGATCCTGACGAATCATGCGCGCGATACGGCACAAATGTTCCACGGCATCCATGAAGAATACCAATTTGACATCTTTGGATGTGGTCATATTATAGTCATCCAAATACTGCGCGAGTGTGTGTGTGTGTGTATGTGTGTGTGTGTGTGAAGGGATGTGTGAAAAACGAAAGAAACGGACATTTGTTCAATAACTGAACGGACACAATTAGGAAATGATTATGGTTTTATTATATTACTTGAGCAAGACAAAAGATTGCTGCAGTGTACACACACACACATATATATATATATACACGAATTCTCACCCCTTTTACGGGGTTTACTAGAAGGTGGCAAGATCCAGGGAGGTAGACAGATTGTGCTGCCTATCATATAGATGATGATGCTCACTCACCTCAGTCAAGAGTGCTTGAAGTCGCGAAGCGCTTGTGAACTCCTCGTAGATCCTTTCCGAGCGCGGCAGCCCTGGTCGAGCGAAATCACCGAACAGAATGGGTTCATTCGTAAAAGTCTCGGCTTCTATAGCCTAGAAACAAAAACAAAGGAGAACTTTGAAAATGTTACATCAGTCAATCGTTTATGATAAAAAAAAATGTGGACAAAATAATGAAATATCTTGTCGAAGTCCTTCGCCTACGACAAAAATAACATTTTCAGATTCACAAAGAGAAAATTCTGTTTAAAATTTCCTAGTATTTTCTACGCACTGTAGTCTGATGAACGGCCGACGGAGAAAGCCCCATAGTCACGAGGACCTGCTGTTCAGTGATGGCAAACGGTAACCTAATCCGCTGAACTTAAAGTGGCGAACTACATAAGTCTCCACGAGGTCAGATACGATAGCAAGCCGGACGATGGCAAAGCTACCTACCAACCAAGTTGGGTGGCAGTGGCGGGGCTCGAACCTCAACCATAGGGTCCAAAGCACGCAAGTGACAGTGACTATACCACTGTGCTAGTGTTTTATCACAGTAAAACCGATTGAAATGGACAAACCTAAGAGAACTGATTATAAATCATCAACTGGCTTATGAATAAAGGCAGCTGGCACCTCTCAGAGTTTAGTAAAAATATTGTGTGCAAACAGCTTTCCGGATCATCAGCTCAACGCGACAAACAAATTGGTAAGCTTATCACCTTCAGTCAAATTGATCCGACTTTGTCGAACATCTGTAGTCTCTGAATTGTTTGACGGTAAAAGAAGGATATTCAGACCGGTCCCTTCCTCAAGAGTGGGAACAAAAGAAAATTTCGTCAGATTGTTTCAAAATCAAAACCAATCAGTAACTAACACTCTCAAATGCTCGATGAACATCAATGACTCAAAACAGTTTGCATACCATAAACAGCGTTCAACCAGGCTATCGCAATGTCTAGTGCACTCTATAACATCAACTATCAACCAGAAATTAGCTTCCGTTTTCCAGACTAAGAGAACGCCTTGAACTAAGTCGACAGGAATAAATTACTCACTTCGATGGACAATGACAACACTCTGGCTGACTTGGACGGATGGTCGTCTTGTTATTTTAATAACCGTGGATAGTTCACATGTCTAAATGATAAAGCTTTTCAAAATTTCCCACCAGCTTTGTTGCACCTGGAGGGGTTACTGTATTCCATATCTTATTAGCTTTTTATGCCAAGAGTCATCCCCATCCTCCATCCATCTTCACTTTCAAATACATTGAGATTGTGGTAGTGTTGTGATATACTACCCATATTTGTGAGTAGTTTGCGCGCACCACGGAGTCGTTATTAGATCCCATGGTATTCGCGAGTAAATTAGGGGATTTATTGTTCCATCAACAAGAGAGGTAAACAGACTGCCAGGCAGGCGATCACAAATGAAGAGACGATCGCAAAAATAACAACCAGTTGTTGCAAATTATATGTTTCGTTCTATATAATCTTATTTACCTCTATTGATGTTTTGTTTTGAACCAACAAATCTCCCCTTCCTCCTGGCACTGTATTGTGAATATATAAAAGTGTTTGACCATATAGTTCTAATCAAGTGCATCACTTTGTTTTTACCGTTGAAAAACGGTCTTGAACTGTGAACTTAAGAAAAATTCATACAAAATACATTGAAACATTCATCCGTTGCTTCTAGGAACCAAAACTTATCGAGTGTTGGATACCCCAAAAAAGAAGCTGGAAAATTGGAACCAATAACCTGCATTTCTGTTTTACTAAAATATTTTGAAAAGCTTATTCTTGGTAACATTATTCCTAATACTGAGCAGCTAGATAACAATCAATTCACTTATCGAAAACAACGTTCTATCTTGGACAACCTTGCGCATCTGGTAAACCCAGTTTAGCAATCCCTAGATATCCATGGTACAGAACGTAGTGTGTGTTTTCTCGACCACAGTAATGCTTTTTACTGTGCCTACAGGACAGGGCAGATGTTTGTCTCTTCTACAAGGTGCTGGATTGTTCCATACTACCCTCTCTCTACTCCAAGAT